CGGGATCAGTACCCGTAAACACTGGAGGATCTAACTGAAGAAACTTGTTCACCTTGGAACTAGAAGGTTCCCCTGGATGACTGGAAGAAGTAGGCCCAACACTCGATCTCTGGGCCTGAGAAGCCACTATCTGTGTCAACATTTGTATGGCGCCCCTAAGATCAACATCAGACACCCCAGAATCGGAAGCTGGAGCTGGAGGTGGAACTGGAATATCAGTTGGAGGAACCGTTGCACCTTCTATAGGTGTAGGGTCATGTGCGGTCTGATCAGTTGTAGTAGAGTCATGCAGTGTCGTAACTGGAGGAATATTCTCACTCCTCGGGTGCTCACCCGCATCATCAATTATAGGGTCAATTGTCACTCCTAGGGTGACATTGGCTTTTTGGCCAGTTCTTGCCTTCTTCTTAGGTGCCATGTACTGAAAATTAGAGCAACGCATGAGTTAAAGGAGGAACAATCTTATAACCAGCTTTATCGCACGATCAAGAACATGAAAGAAGGGTATTATTCCTAAATACCCATGTAGAATCCTAATTATAGATATGGTCAACAACACACCGATAATAAGAACTCTACTAGACACGACTCCGAGACATCCTAGGACACTTTAAAACCTGACTATGATACCAAGTTTGTCACGCCCCAAAACCGAGGAGCGCGGCCGACGCTCAACCGAGTGAACCCGGCCGAGCAAGCCTATTAGATTTCCTTCTACCAAACTCATTCATGAATAAAGAGAATATATGTTTTCATTAATCAAACAATAAAGTGGTCATGCCTGCAACTACCAATTTCTTACCATAAGTTTCATCATTTTTAAAGTCTCAAATAGACAAGAAATACAACCACAACATAACATAGTTTGACTTTCCCAACACCAATACACAACCCACACCATGTCTACGGAGCCTCTATAGATAAAGAAGAGTACACTGATAATTCCGGTAACAAGGCCCCGCTATACCTCAAACAGTATACAAAAGATACATGACCCCGGGGTAAAGTGGGGCTCAGCAAGTCGGCTGGGAAGAAGGTGTACTACTATCACTGATCAATATCTCCTGTTGTGGAACAACTTGCATCGATTTAAAGATGCAACGCCCTCGACAAAAGGGACGTTAGTACCGTCAAATAGTACTAGTATGAAAATTAAACACCAATTTAAGAATTCAGAAATACAAAAATGAATATGATGAACCAGTGCGGCAATAGTATAATATAGATAAACGTTTAAACTAGATCAAGCATATTAAGAGCTATCAATAATATTTATAGAATTTAAGATGAGATCCTCTATAACCATCTTTATATAAAGCGGCCCCGCCGCCTCACCCAATGTATGCAGGTGGAGGTGTAAGCACAATGCCACAACTCTGCTCAAGCGGCCCTGCCGCCTCACCCCAATGTATGCGGGTGTAGGTATAACCACAGTACCAAGAACCTACACAAAGCGGCTATGCCGCCTCACCCCAATGTATGCGGGTGTAGGTATAACCACAGTACCAAGAACCTACACAAAGCGGCTATGCCGCCTCACCCCAATGTATGCGGGTGGAAATGCATTAACAATACCAATACCAACACAAAATGGCTATGCCGCCTCACCCCAATATATATATGTGGGTGGAGGTGCTGCAACAATACCAAAACTATACACAAAGCGGTCGTACCGCCTCACCCCAATGTATGCGGGTGGAGGTGCAGTCCCACAATAGCATAATCCCTACACAAAGTGGTCATGCCGCCTTACACCAATATATGCGGGTGGAGGTGTATTACAATCACAATCTCTATACAACTTGGCAAAATAACTTTCACATAAATCATGACTTGAAATTATAACATGTGGATACATAATCCATAGTTTGGAACATATCCTCAGTTTATAATGCAATATGATAAGAGCATTTGAAACACGAATTGAACATATATCCTTATCACAAAACTTATCGGAATACTCGATTTGTAATCAATATCTTGGAACCTACGAGGATAATGGGAATTCAAATTCTTAAAGAAGGGTTTAGCCAACATACCTCAATGGAGCTTCCTTAAACTATAAAATGTTCCGGAATTCTTAGCAACTTCAATCTATTTTAGAAATATAACAAATTGAACCAAAATTAGGAAGATGATCATGGTTCTAGCTCATTTGAGCATTTTATCAAACACTAGGTGTGCATAATATTTCAAGGTCCTTTTATGGAGGATTCCATCATCCCACAACTCAATCTTTACCATGCTTAGTTTAACAATCTTCATACACCCCTTGATATCACATGCATGTAAAATAAATAACTCTCATGCCCAAAAATTATCTTGCTAATTACCCATTTTCAGATAATTTCAAAATTAGGGGTTAGGGTGTAGAATCTTACCTCTAGGATGAAGACCTAGCTAGTTTCCCTTCTTAATCTTCCAAAATTTGAGCAATAATTGAAGAACAATTATCGAAGAACACCTTCTCACTCTAGGGCACCCTCTCTCACTCTAAAATGTCAGATTTTAGCTCAAAAATGGTCCAAAGCGTGTATGTAACGAAGCAGGGTTGAGTTTTAAAAACCCAAAAATGGAGCTCCGGAACAAGGTCTGCGCTCGCATAACCGATATGCGAATTGCATATCGGCCGCATAATTGGTGTCTAGCACCGGCAAACACCTATCTATGTCTACGATCACTATGCATACCTGTTCTGCGGTCGCATAATGAACCGCAGAACAGTTATGCAGCCGCATAGTTGACCGCAGAATTGCATCCAAACTGACCCTCTCCTGTCTCACTTATACGGCCATTATGCGCCCCGCAGAGTGATTCTGCGATCGCATAATGGACCGCAGAAATGCATTTCGCTGCCAAAACCTTTTCTGTACTTTCCAGTGCATTGTTCAACCCAAAAAGTCTGAGCCGCGAAGAATTTCTATAATCCTCAACACGTAAAACCAATTCGGTACCACGAAACATTATTTTCTTTTGTAAAATTTTTACGGGGCCTTACATCGGCCCGGTATCGAGGAGGCTTTTTCGACCTTAAAGTCGATGACGGTTGGGCACCCTACCGGAACGAATTCCTCAGGGTGGGGCTCTGCCGCATCCTCACCACCAGCGGGTCGTGATGAAGAAGCGTCCTCTTTTTGCGACACAGTTTTGGAGGTTTTCGCTATTGATGAACAAGGGAAAAGAAAATTAGGATGGTATGCGGTTTAATTAGAGTTCTAGAAATTTGGGTGTGAAAATTATGAAGTAAAGGGATTTTCTAAAGAAAAAGCAAGAGTAGAAAGAGCTTTGAGTGTAAAGTTTGAATGAGAAAAGATAGGGTTCTTATAGGTTGCTGGCGACGGTTCGAAATCGGTAATGGCCGACCAGCAACTGACATGCATTTAATACCTTGGTAACTGGACCGACGGGACGTTTCGTCCCATACGTTATAATCGGGCTCGTCGCTAACGTCATTACCTATCGTGTCAAAGTTCGAAAATTCATATCGTTTCTCGCCATATTCTTTCCGAGAAACGAGGGGACTATCTGTATACGGTCAAAACTGAGCTTGCCCTTCGTATGACTAATCGAGACTGGAACATGATAGACCAAGGTTCAACCTCGTATAATATCGAGCCATGATGCGAAGTTAGGTTGCCGAGCTCGTGACCCAGAGACCGATCAAGATCAAGATCGACCAAGATCGAGATCGGCCAAGATCAAGATCGAGCCAAAAAACAAAAAAGCCGGAATATCCGCAATTGGGTAAGAATCTCGGTGAAAATCCCGGCGCATATCAAGGAGAGGCCAATTAATTAATTTATCATGAGATTCTTTACTATTTTTAGGATTATATTGAGAGTATGATTTCCCTAATATATAAAGGGGGTCTGATCATTTATGCCATACAAAGCAATACACTAACTTTTTTTTAGCTTCATTATTTTGTTACTCTGATCATATACTAGCGGAATCTTCATTTGGTTCGAGGGTGATCGAACTTGAGGGTCAAGGCTAATTGATTCATTTGATTTGTATTTATTTCTTTTACAGTTAATTTCAATACTAGTGTATATATATATATTGTCAATTTGTGCCAAATTATATCATGTATCCTTAGAATCGCGTATAAATTTAATTGTTATCCGTTTTTCGGGTAAACAGAAATATATAACATTCTTCATTTCTTCTTACAGGGAAGATCATATAATCTAAATTGTATATCAAAAAAATATATGAAGAGAACTTTCTTTACTCCCTGCGGGCAAATTATCAACTTGTAGTTCACCTCCTTAAGACATGGAATTGTGTTCCCACCAAATTCACTCCTTGGAACCTTGAACAGCTCCCTGTTTTTCTTGGTAATTCCATACTTGCCTTTTAAGTGGTATTATTCTAACCAGTATTATTTTTTTTAAAGGAATCTGGATGAAAATCAACCAATTACAAGTCTATATCTTATACCTCAAACATCCGGATGCGATTGGAATTAACACAACAAGTTCAGGACTAAATCCGAATTTGGGACCTAATTAGGAACCAAAATTGAAGTTTTATTATAAATAGTGAACTTGTTAAGTATTTTTTAGAACAAATGCTTCGTTCTTTCTTTCATAAACTCTGCCTACACTAAGTAGTCAAACATGAAAACAGATCCAAAGGCTCTCATCATATCCTTTTGCAAGTGCACTTTCATACATTGATTACTTTCTAAAATTTGGATAATATAAAGTATGGGATTTGCAGCTACGCTACAATCTAAGATCTTCCTTCGTGTATCCTTTCTCTTGCCTTCTTTGCCTGCACAGTCCATTCCAAAATTTTCAATTATTAGAAATACAGAAAAAAGAAATGACGAAACTGTGAAAACACTAAAAAAAGGTAAAAAGAATGAACCTGCTTTTCCCAATCTGTGAAACTTGTAACAATAGATAGAATGATTGTTTGTACAGTAGAACCAACCACTATTCCAATCCAAAGACCCTTTGCTTTCAAATGTAGTACGAACCCCAACACCACTGCTAAGGGGATTGCTACCAAATAAAATGCCCCTAGATTTATATATGCCCCAATATGCTGCCACCCGCTTCCTCTTGCTATACCTGTATTTGTGTTTAACAACAAAATCTTAGTCGAAGTGTAGTGCAAATTCTTTTCAGGAATATATCAGGGTTAATCTTACGCATAGTCACTGAATTTTACCCGCCACGTTAGAGCTTTGCTAGTAAATATGACACATCAAAAGATGGATGCTTGGAAACTAACCAGAGATGACTGCTTGTAAGCTATCTGTGATAATGGACAGACATAGAAAAGGAGTCATTTCAGCTATATAATCCACCACTTGCTTGTCATTGCTGAAGGCTTTCCCTAATACACGCCTGCTTCCGAATAGACTTGTGCTTAATACTACTGTCTCTATGACTGCAAGAAACATTACTAACTGAACTGCGAGTCGAGCCTTTTGAGGATTTCCAGCTCCCAATTCATTTGAAATACGAGTACTTTAAAATCGAATTAAGACAACAAGTAATGGAGTAAGAATTTGTATGAGTTTTAGCTACTGATGGATATATTTGATAGTTATTGAGTCAAACCTTGCAGCAGCTCCAAAGCCATATGGTATAGTGAAGTGTAATGTGGAAATTGTTAAGCTGCATGAGTGTGAACAAATGAGATATTAGAAGCATTTCTATTGAAAATTCTCTGGAATTCATGACCAATGTGAAATGGTTGTGGATTAGAGTATGGTACCATATTGACATCACTGATGTCTCAAGTGTTGGATTTGGTAAAAGGCCTGATAGCAGAGTAAGCACCTCAAGTGACCACCATTTTAGGCTACAATAAGGGTGTTGCCATATTGGAGGTTATGAGTCATTGAAATGAAAACACATAAATAAATGACTTCATCCAAATGATCATCAGGCATGAGGGATTCATTCAAGAAGACGAATATTTACCAAACCATCACAGCAGAAGGAACAGCCAAACGGAAGAATTGTCCGATACCAAGGAATGCATCCATGGAGAAAGGCGCTCGAGTCTTCTCACAGGAGCTTGAATATTTGACATAAAATGCAAGAAATAGCACATACAACCAACTGGATATGCTGAAGGCTATAGCAGCTCCTATGTTTCCTCGCTCCAACTTAAATATCAAAGCCCAGCTTATGGGCAAGTGGAAGCATAGAACACCAAAGGAAGATAACAGCATGGGAAGAATCAAACTCTGTGTCTGCATGTATCTAACTAGCGGTTTAGAAATTGCACCACCAAATAAAGCAGGGAGTACCCACATTGAATACTTCTGCGCTTCCACTGAGATTGAATGATCTTGTCCCATCAATATAAGCAATTTGTCCATGAAGAACCACAATACACATATTGGTATGCATACAAGAAACAGAGAAATTATAGCAGTGTAGGTATATGTGCTGAGTTTATGGTATTGTTGAGCTCCGTATGCTTGTCCACATAGTGTCTCCAAACCACCAACCAGCCCTGACTGTTTCATATTCACAAACCTCAGTCAATCAATATGGTTTCATGCATGAACGTGAAGTAAAAATAGATCTTGGTACTAACTCAATCCGAAAAACTAGCTTATGAGGTGAGGATTGTCCAAGACCACATAAAGAGTCAACAGTGTTTCTTCAACAAATGTTAGACTACAACACCTCCACGCCCAGGCCTACACATCTCGAATGTGGACGATATAATATGAGGGGCCAGACATTGTGTAGATTAAGAATAGGGATAGATATGGTTGTGATACCATGTTAATAAGATAGACTCAATGCAAAAGATAGCTAGAGGTGGATGGAGCTCATTTCATTGGGTTCAATTGAACCCTATATTATATATATGTGTGTGTGTGATAATGTGAAATTTACTAAATATCATCGAAGACTAAATTTTCAACCTAAAATTTCAAAAGTGTGATAGATTCAGTAGTAAGAATCGTGAAAGTTGAACCTTCCAGCTTCAAACTCTGGATTAATTTGGCACTGAAGCGCTTATGAGGTGAGTATTGGCCAAAATCATATAACGAGACAATAACTGATTCTCTTGACACTCAACAAACATGAGTAAAGAACAGTAAGATGCAGAGAGAGGACTTACAAGTAGGCTGAAACCAGTGACATTAGTTAGAGAAGTGGCAATGGCAACGCTAGAGAGCGCTAACTGTCCAAGATGTCCCACCATAACAACTGATACAAATTGCAAGAGGTACTGAAGCACTGTAACTGCTACCATTGGAGCCATAATGCGACTCGTCTTCTTCAGTTCTTGGGATACAGCATCCCAGTTTATCTGCCATTTCTTTTCTTTCAAGCTCTGTGGCAACTCCTCTGTCATGATAGTTCTACTTATTGCCACTTCCACAGGCGAAGACCCTTAAATATAATAGTATGCACAATTAGAAAGACGGCTTGGGTGGCAAAACGGGTGGGTCGGAGCGGATATGGGCGGGTCGAAAACATATGATGCAAAAATGGATAAATTAGAGAAAATAAAACTGCACGACCGCTAAAAAATTTAATAGCCTAAAATTTTGTACTTTACCCAAAATGTCCAGTGGAACAAATTTAATATCAAATCATAGTCATCAGCATAATTATTACCGAACTAAAATCTCTCATATCTCCATATCCATACAACATCACATGCTCCTAAAAATATTATTATTTATTATACACGTTTTTCAACCTAACTTTATCTCTTTTATCCCATTTCTTAAGAATACTTTTTTATCTTCTAGAATCCACTCACCCGTAGAAATTACTCACATTTCTTTTTTTGTCTTTTTCTCGTTCATTTTCTTTCTTTGTATTTCTCACTTAAGATCTAGATTTCTTTCTTTTTATTTTGCATTTTATATGGAAAAGCTTCTTTTGAGTAGATAGAAAAGTTGCCAAAAATTCAATTTAAATCTTAAAAGAATTTATTCGATTAATACTACGGTAATGATATTAGAGTGGCAGTAGAAGAGATGAAATTTTCTAGTCAAGCTCTGTGTATTTCTGTTGGTGTTTTATTGGTTGTTATTATAATTTTTGTGAGGATATGAGATTTTATGGTAGATCGACTGGTTTTGTTTTCATTCGGGCGGTTGCTGCTGCTGCTTCTTCTTCTTGTCATAATGGTATTTTGTGAGTGAATATCTTTTACAATGAGTGTTGATGGTGGGTCTGGGTTTAATAAGGAAGCTGGACGGTACTTATATGTAATTTTGTTTGTATATATATATATATATATATATATATATATATATATGCTATGTATAAAAGTTGTATATACATTGTATCCTAAGTTTGACAATGCACTTTGTGTATATTGAGTGTATTCTTAACGTGTTTGTATATTCAAAGCGTTACATGATTATATAGTGTATATATACTACACAATATGTATATATTATGTATGTATACTATATAATATTTATATATACTATATACAAATTATATACATAATTTATACATGATTGATACATATTGTGCAATTATATTTTTGTATAAAAATTGTATATAAACCGTTATATATGTATATAAGATGTATATTTACAGTTAAACAATATATAAAAGTTTTATATATAATATTTTCTGAGTTTCACAATGTATTCTTAGTGTATTCCGAGCTGTTGTGTATTTTAAGTGTATAAAAAATATATTGTTCAACGATGTATAAAAAACGTATAGTACGTGTACAACCTGTACATCACCTTCTTCTTCTTTTTCTTCTTCTTCTTCTTCTTCTTCTTCTTCTTCTTCTTCTTCTTCTTCTTCTTCTTCTTATATCATGAGTATTTTTTCTTATGTAATAATATATTTTTCTAAATTGGATCATTAAAAATTTAAAATTCTTTGTAAAAGTTAAAAAGGGGATTATAATTTGTGTATAATAGGAAGAAGCTTGGTGGTTATGGAGAAGACAATTGGGTTTGATGGAATTTTGGGGCTGAAAGGATAGTTTTTTCGGGGATTTCACTAGATATGAAGGATTTTGGGTGTGATTTGGCGAGATTTTAAAATTTTTAACTACTAACATTAATTTTAAAAGAATATTAGGCTAGAGGTTTGGCTAGCCGCTATTATGGTTGCATTTAGGAGCCAAGAGTTTCTCGTTGGTTTCTAGGTTTCACTTGCTAGCCCTTATAATTATTTTTGGGCTATAAATTGTATACCTTATTTTGTGGCTACCAGTTGACATTAGTTTTCACCGAGTGGCTACAAATGAATTTCTCTCGATAAATTATCCGACGCCCGACCCATATTTAATACGAATAAAAAATGAGTTAACCGGCGGATAATATGGATATCCATATTATTCATGACTTCTTGAATTTGATCACTTTTGAGAGAATTCCTAGTCTCCTAAACTTGAGGAACCTCCAATTTGTGGCTTTGCATATGTAAAAATTAAACCCATTATTTATTCATTGGCTATCCATTTTCTAAGTAGATAATATGATTTTTATCCATATTTGACCCGTTTTTAAAAAGTTCATTATCCAACTCATTTTCTAACGATAACTATTTTTAAAACAAAATTATTTTTGACACCACTAGCCGTGCGTATATGATATTGTTGTAGGACAGAGAAAGATGCTTGCTTGCTTAGCAGATATACATATTATAAATGTTTTCTCTTAGGTTATCTTTTTTGTCATTACTTATCGATTTGCTATACAATTTTAGCTGTACTAGCAACCCCATTTGTCTTTTCTTTGATTCCCAATTGACTACCATTATGACATGCAAGAAACCATTTTCAAAGGTCAAAAAATATACATGTTCCGTTGCCATCATTAAATAAGTGATTGACTTACTTATTTTCTAATGTTTTGATGGTGAGTGAGAAACGCTTTTTTAAAAACTTTTTTGGCAAAAAGAACTCTAAGAAAAACGCAAGATTTTCAAACAAACGCCTACAAATGACGAGAAAAGAAAACAGTTTTTTGATATAACAAGATTTTTATGCAGACAATGAAAAAGGCATGTCCATGACCCAATAAAAAAACAAAAGAAGGCATGTCGAATGTGGAAATTGGTACTTTGACAGACATTCATAAAGGCATGACTGCAGTCAATTCCATGAAATAAACTCCATGGATCATGCTGCTTTCTGTTGACTGATTGGTAAATACGGCAGAAAGCGAGGCGGGGTGTCTAGCGCCTCTATTTTTGTTGGGCAAAAATGACCGATAAAACTTTTAATATGGTGTGATATTGTCCGCTTTTGATTAAGTTTACAGTTTTCTCCGAAAGGCCTCGCCCACACGGTTTTTCCTAAAACGCATCAGACAATTAAGAGATTTCTACACCTTATACGTAGTCTCCCAATCTTTTCAGCTACCAATGTGAATTTATTCACACCCAAAAAATTTCCTGTCAAACTAAGTTTCACGTGGCCAACTACCACGATCCACAGGTCTCCCCCTCGAACCAGTTCCATGTGCTAGCTTCTTTTTATGTGCGCGTGTCCAGGCTCATAAGCGTAAGGAAGTCCATTACTATAATTCACGGGTCAATTTTCGAGATTCACTATGTGTCACTCACATCGTTAGAGTATTTATGTGAGCCAAAGCCCGCAACTAACTTCTTTTTATGTGTGCATCTCCAAGCTTGTAAGAGTAAGCAAATCGAGTCCCGCACCATCACTCTACTCTGCCATCACCATACTCATCCCGCTGAACCTGGCTCTAATACCAATTGTTGGGCTAAAATAACCCAATGATACTCTTAACAATTAACATGGTGTGATATTGTCCTCTTTGGGTCAAGCCAACACGGTTTTCTCAAAAGGCCTAATACCATTAAGAGTTGAGAAAAATGATATTGTATAGCCGCTCTCAAAATAATAGCCTAAAAATGTATTCTTTTATATATAGACACACATAGATTATGTATATTATAAATAAAAATTATACAAATTTTATATACTTTTTCGGCTACCGAATGTAAATAATTTCTCGCACGACCTAAAGTTGATCTTAAGAGATCTCTACACCTTATATGTAGGTTCTCAATCTTTTCAACTACTGATATAAGACTTTAGTCGCACGCCTAATAATTTTTATCCCAGAAAATGACTTCACTTGTATTAGCAGGGAAGTATTTTTCACTAATTTCAGTAAATATTTTCTTTTAAAATAAAAAATACGAAAAGAATTATTCAGAAAATATTTCTTTTCTACCAAACACACAAGATATTATATATAAGGATTCTAACCAGCACTTGGATTATTTTAATTAAATAATGCTACTGTGCATTATTTCATACTTCTTTTTTAGGTAATATACATTTCATGCATGGCTACCACTAACTTGTCTTTCGGGGTTTCTATGAGAGGAATTTACACAGATTACAACTTCTTTAACAGTTATTTGCAAAAGTTACAATCACTTTTAGAAAATTTCACAAATACAATTTATTACAATTTTTTTAACTTTTTAATTAAATTACTAAGTTCATAAACTCCTAAAATTTCTCCCCTGAACATGGGATAATGGTACAAACAATTTGTTAAGTGGTCAGTTACACATTATCTATTTTTTTAAACTCCTATAATGTCTCAACCATCCGTGTATTAGTTATTAAAACAATCAAAGCATATTCACTCTCAAAAGAAACATGCCCTTTCAATTTTAAATTATAGAAGATTTTTATTTTTTTTCTCCCTTAGAACACCCGTAAACCATCCAAAAATCACTAAAGGCTTGGGAATTTTGCAGCTGAAAGTGTTTGCTTTCCCAAATTTTAATTGACAATGTATTATTTTATATTATATATACTGTATATTGTGTTATTGTATATTTTAATAATATATACATTTTATAATATACATTTAAAAATATATACATTATATTTGTTTCCCCAAGTTTGCTTCTTCTTTATATTTCCATCAGCAAAATGTATTTATTTCCCCCAAGTTTTTATACAATGTATTATTGTATATTATATATACTATATAATATATGTATATTAATATATAATATACAAACATTGAACTGGAAATAAAATATTTTTAAAAATATATTATACACAGTATAATATATATGCAGTATATAAAGAATATTATACACAGTATTATATATATATATATATATATATATAAAATGTATTACTGTATTTTTTCTTTTGGGGTTTTCTTTGGATAATGATTCCTTCAAAGTATCCCATAAACTTTTGGGTCTTCTTAATTTGATTGATTAATTTTCGCACAGATAGAGTAACATGAGATTTTTTTAATGTATCAACGTGGTTATGAGAGATATTGTTATAATTGTCATCAATAATTAATAAAATGGAGAAACTTTAGGAGCTGATTATGGAATATGTTTTCCCTTTAATAGGAAATTTAGTGTATTTGTAGAGTATATTTTTATACCTTTATTGTAGAATAAGTTATTTTATTATTAGTTGTAGATTATGAAATATTTTATAAATCCATAAGTAATTATGAAAATTTCTCTTTTTATATGTCCTAGATGGCTTATTACACCAACTTTTGCGTTCGAACACATACCCGAAAGTTGGATTATCTATTTTTATTTTTATGGAAGATGAAATATACAACATTCTTCCTAATGAGAAGATTATGTATCTTTGGGAAATAAACAACATAGAGAGAGAAAGACTATCCTCTCTCTAACTCCCACTAACCCACATAAATCCCAAAATATCTACAGGCCCACCACGGGCAAATGACCCCACAATTCAAATTCAACAAGAACCTCCTGATATCCTCCTTGTACCCCACCAACGGGATATGGAGGAAGATATGCCCCAAAGAACTCGTTCAAGGAAATCCTCTTAGAGGCAAACCTCGTTTCTACGACCAGGCTACCCCAGTTGCCGACGGAATTCTACGATAAAGCTATACTCAAACAAGTCGGCAACAGAATCAGAAATCTACTAAAGATTGACACCTGCACCTCATCCACCCTAAGGGGCGGATACACTAGGATTTGTGTTCAAGTACCCTAGAAATCCTAATTACTACTGCAACATATGTACCCATAACCAGTCTATACTGTATGAGGGAGAAGGGATCCTTTGCAAGGCCTGTGGGCGAATTGGGTACACATTAAGATCGTGCTCGTTTAAGACCAAACCCATAGACCAAAACACCAACCCAGACCTTAATATAAATATAACCCAACTGGAGAAGAAGCAGTGCTGAACAGTGATGCCCAATGGAAGACCGTCCCA